CTAGACGTTGGGACACTCATCTAGAATGGCGTAACCACTACATAGTGCCCTGATTAGGGCGGACAGTCAGACACAGCCTCTTTCATCAGCTCTGGTTAGCCAGCCCATGCCATTCTGAACACACCTGAATGAAATGAGTGGCCGGTTAGCCTCCGCTGAGCCAAATGAGCCAGCCTTTAGACCCAGGGGTGTTAGAGAAAAGACGCATCTAAAGGTTACAGGATGGTAGTGTATTATTTTATATTTTTCCAATAGCAATCTCTTGCAGCAGATGGCACCGTGTCTGCTCATCGCACCCAGAGCTGGAACTCTATTTAGGCTATTTAAACACTATCAGGGCGGACGGTTGACCTATATGACCTGATTTTAACAGGATTTTTGGTAAAGAGATTCAAGGTGATTATTTACCTTTAACCAGATGGACAGGTTTCAGTTTATTTGAGTACATTTTTAGGCTTTTTATCTCGTAAATGAGGAATGAAAAAGTCTGCCGCAGACTAACACTAAAGCCTACTTTTATGTATCCAGTTTTAGGTCAAACAGAGGAATCTGCTCCTTATGCAGCGGTGGAACATGGATGTGTATGACCTGCATCGCTGAGAGTTTCTGACGGGGATTCTGAAGATTTTCACGTCAAACAAAGGAACTGTAACTTAAAGCTTGGACTTGTGATTCAAGCATTCATTCCCTCTGTTCAGCTAGTTGGTGACTCAGAGTCACCATGAAGATCCATGCAGCTCAGAAGGTAACAAACCCACATCACCAGGTCCTGACTGATGGAGCACTCCTTACATTTCTTCAGGAAAAAAGGCCGCTCCCCACGACTGGCTCGTTCTCGCTGCTGCTTCTTGAACTGGAGCTCTCTCTCTCTCTGCTGCTCTCTGGTCTGTCTGGCTTTTTCCTGGTTCTCCTGTAAAAACAGTGGACAGTCTGGGCAACCAACATGTTTTGGGTCATGTGGCAACGTTCAGCCAATCATACGTCACTGGCATCCGCAGGGCTCAAGCAGATCTGGCACCCACACCTTCTCAAAAAATTGCCACCCCCCCTAAAGAGCTGGCCCCCTTGGCATGAAGGCCCCCTGACAAACCTGGCCCTAGGGGGGAAACGGGCCCTCAAAATAGTCAGCCCAGCCTGAAATGCCGACTCTCTGAAGAGCTGGCCTCAGGTGAGGGGGGGGGGGAAATGGCCTTATGAGGAGCTGATAAGACCCTGTTCCCCGCGGAGCCCTTAATATATGGCCCTTGGAGGAATTGTCCCCCTTATAATCCAACGGCCAGAAGAGCGGGCCCCCTGTAAATATCCAACCCCATTAAGTGGAGCTTACACTGTGCTATATATTTAATGGTTGCACGCAGCTACAGAACAAACTGTACGACAAAACCGCAGGGTTTAGAAGTTCCCAGCTCGCATGTTTGTTCTCACGCTGTGCGACCCGACGCTCTGATTCGATCTACCTGCTCACACTGTGGGACTCAGCTCCGCAGTGAGAGGGCGCTACTCAGACTCGTCTATCGGGAAGCCAAACGAGTAGAAGAGGAATATAAAGCTCACTAGAGGTGAAATGTGCTGCCTTGGCAATTTGTGCCATTTTGTGCTGAAAGCCCTGAAAAGAGAAAGAGACGGCTTATAGACATGGCTGATCAACCGGGGCTACTACGGTCTGTCAGTTTTATAGAAAGAACTCACTCATTGCACCCCCGCCATGCTTCTGTGTTTACATCTGAGAGGAAGAAGAAGAAGAATCCCTGTTTGCGAACTGAGCGATTTGCCCACGACCACCTTACGACGGCCGACTGAATATTAAACATGTTTGATTTTCTCCCGACCTTACGATTCCTGATGGGGAGGAGGTCGTTAGAGGCTGATCGCCCCTCGTTACCCCCTGTTCACTACATCACGCACCATCAGGATGAAAGTCGGCCTGATGGAAAAATGATTGCACGACTGGAGAATCGGCCCGAAAAGGGCGTACACCCGGCTTTAGAAAGCTGGCCCTTTAGCAGGATATAAGAGCTGCCTATGAACAGCTGGCTAAAGAGGATAGCAAAGCCCAGGGGCCCTCCCTCCAGCTGCCGCTGTCAGTGAGAGGGTGTCTCCATCACTGCCAGAGCTGTGAGATGTAGATCTACAGTGCAGGTCGTCCAATTCTAGATCACACTTGATTTCTCTGTGTCACATCATAAAAAGAGTGAAGTATGAGGACTTCTCACCAATCTCCTCAACAGGAACTGCAGCTTCTCCTTCCTCTGACTGCCCATCTTTTTCTTCTTTAGCTGCTTCTTTATCATCTGCACAGAAAGAGAATGTTAGCAGCTCCTCTCATGCAGGATAATAAACCTTTGGGTTTTCTCACCTCCTTCTCTCTGTGTTTGAGGTCATTAATAAACTTGTAAGTCTTCTCAAATATCTCTGGTTTGTATTCCCCTGACAGGCTGTCAAACCGAGGATCCCTCCTGGTCTATGACACAACAGTCCAACATTAAGCTTCTAATGCATCCGGAGGGTTTATGGTACAATGTTCTGTCAAAACTGGTGTGACTCACAGATTTCTTGATGGGGATGACCTGGCGGAGGAAGGATGGCGCCTTTTTGGCAGAGATTTCCATCGGCCTGAAATCAAACACTGTGTGAAACAAACTGAAGGTCTGTGGGAGGAGGACCTGCTGCAGAAATCAAACACTTTTCACCATAAGAAGCAACAGACCTGTTCTTGTTCAGCCTTTTCTTACTGCTGACTGCTCCGTGTCTTCTGCTACTGAACGCCACCTCATTGAAAGCTTTAGTTCCCACCTTCTGCTGCAGCTTCATGACCTCCTCAAAGGGCATGTTCGACAGTCCTGAGTAGGAAGAGCACATCATCAGGGAATATTCCTCTATGAGGAAGCTACAACTGAAACTGTGTCCGAATGTCCGTCCTAACCACTTTATAGGCCACTATATGGTATACTAACCACTTTATAGGCCACTATATGGTATACTGACCACTATATAGGCCACTATATGGTATACTGACCACTTTATAGGCCACTATATGGTATACTGACCACTATATAGGCCACTATATGGTATACTGACCACTTTATAGGCCACTATATGGTATACTAACCACTTTATAGGCCACTATATGGTATACTGACCACTATAAAGGCCACTATATGGTATACCAACCTCTTTATAGGCCACTATATGGTATACTGACCACTATATAGGCCACTATATGGTATACTGACCACTATATAGGCCACTATATGGTATACTGA